TTTTTTTTCCCCCCAAAGCCCCAGTAGATAGTTGTATGTGATAGCTGCACATCCTTCTAGTTGCTGTACGTGGGACGTGGCCTCAGCATGGCCGGAGAAGCGGTGCGTGGCCAGGATCCGAACCCGGGCCGCCAGCAGCAGAGCGCGCACACTTAACCGCTAAGCCACGGGGTCAGCCCCAGGGTTCATTTTTTAACCACTCACTCTACTGCCTCCATGCTGTGTGCTGTATGGCATAAACATATTTACAAATATAAGGTCCATGATGGGAAGATGGATGGTGCTAGAAGAACATGTAACAAGGGCATCTCATCTCATCTCGGGTCATCTGAAGGCTGCAGGGTGTTAACTAAGCAAAGAAGGGAAGCAGGAGGGGGACAGACACAAAACTGGTAACAATAGAAGGGAGAGCATGAAACCACCTGGATATGGAAGTTCATTGATGGTAGTGGTGGTCGGGGAGCAATCTGGGAAGGCCTCATGGAGGAGGCAGACCTCGAAAGATCAGTTTAGTGAGTAGAGAGGAGAGGAAAAGGAAACATGAATTCAGAATGAACCTAATGAATTTTGGGGACAGGGAGACACTGGTTATTAGGATTATTTCAGTTGTGAGTAGCAGACACACAATTTGAACTGGCCAAAGAAAACAAAGACTTCACTGACTCGAGCTGCTGAAAAATCCAGGATGTAGATCTGGCAGCAAGTGGTTAAACGATGTTAGGATCTCTCTTCCATTCCTCAGCTCCATTTTTCTATGTTGGCTTCATTCTCAGGCAGTGGAAAGATGTCAACTCTAGATTTTACCCTATCAGCTCAGCAAACTCAGGAAGGGGAGTACAGTAGTCCCTTCCTTATTAGCAGTGAATACATTCCAAAACCCCCAGCGGACACCTGAAATATTCCGAAGGGGGACAGTACCAAACTTCATATATACTATGTTTTTTCCTATGCACACAAACCTATGATGAAGTTTAATTTATAAATTAGGCCCAGTAAGAGATTAACAATGACAACTTCTCTTTGGCATATCCAAATTGCCAGCATCCCTATTCTTGCGCTTTGGGGCCATTATTAAGTAAAATAAGGGTTACTTGAACACAAGCACTGTGATACCTCAACAGTCGATCTCATAACCAAGATGGCTACTCTGTGACTAAAGGGTGGGTAGCGTATATAGCAGTGGATACCCTGGACAAAAGGATGACTCACGTCCCAGGTGGCATGGAGTGGGACACTCATCACACTACTGAGAAGGCGTGCAATTTAAAACTTCTGAGTTGTTTATTTCTGGAATTTCCATTTAATATTTTCAGACTGTGGTTGACAGCAGATAACTGAAACCTCAGAAAGTGGAAGCTGGGGGCAAGGGGGAAATAAGAGGGCACTACTGTGCTTCTTTCCTCAAAGACCTAGGGCTAACTCTCACTGGCTTAGCTTATATTACATCCTCCTTGCTGAACCAATCACTGTGGCTGGTGCTCTCATTGGCCAGCCTAGATTATGTACCTTCTGCTCAGCCAGGGGCTGGGGTCAGCCACACCTGAACATCAGGTTCTGAGAATGGGAGAGCGAAAGCCCCCCAAAGTAGAATCTGGGAGCTGTTATAGGAAGAAGGGGAATGTATGCTGGGCAGGCAAAAACAGACAGTGCCACCACAAGCGGTTGGCTGGGGCACGGCCCCTCTGCCTTTATGCAGTCTCATTTAGAAGGTCTGGGAGGGGACCTGAGAGTCTGTACTTCTAACAGGCTCCCAGGTGACGCCAATGCTGCTGGTTCATGCACCGCACTTTGTGCAGCAAGGGGCACACTACCTGGAGTGATGGCCTTCCTCAAAGTCATTTAAGCTGTTTAGTGCCAGCCTATATCCCACCCTTCCGTTTGCCTACTTTTCCCAGTTCTAACTCTATACCTTTCCACCAGCCTGCTCCTATATGTGAAACACTTTTCCTCACAGTTCTCTCATTAGCTTGTCGACATTTTCATGATTTTACCTCTTATCACTTCCAAATGTTTCCTCATTGAGTGAAGCTGCGGTTACGATTATTCTTCTTCAATTGATGCCTTTGCCAGTTTAGACCTGTGAATACCAACCTTGTGATAGTGTAAAAATGTACTTAATTATTCACGAGCCTGACAAGATCTGCTGTGTTCAATTGATTTGTTGTGCGTGGAACTCACTGCCTGAGTTTCAATCTGGATGTCTGCCTGTATTGAACACTTCAATTTTAGGCTGCAGGCTGTTAAAACGCATGCAAAAGATCCTTTTAACTTGCAGATATAGCACTCGGTAATCAGATGATGTTCAGTTTTCATTATACCAATGATGTTTTCAATCTGGTGGACTTTGCAATCCATTGTGCCAATGTTGGCAGAAATACTGAGCTCTATTATGGTATAAAACTTCCACATCATTTAAGGCTTTGGATTAATGTCTTTATAATGTCTGTGAAATTGAGTCCCAAGGCCTGAGTTTTGGCCTTGAGGTTGCTTCTGAACTTGTTTTGTGACTTTCCTTAAGTCTTTCAACCCTTTTAGGCCTCAGCTGCCCAAATGGCCACAGTTTGGGTGTTTTGCTGTCTTCTCCCCCTCTCCCAGGGTGCTCAGCCAGGTTAGCACACCAGCTTCACTTGCAGCATTTGGGTAACACAATTGGAGTAGGATACTTGATCCTCTAAGCCTTATTTTACTGATCCGCAAAAAGTGATGATAATAGCATCTACCACCTGATAGTTATGGTGGTGACTGAAGATCATGAATGTTAGGAACATTACGACTGACAATCGGGAGAAATCGAAGTTAGCTATCATCGTCATCAGGCTCTGTTGGGAAATAACGTGCTGGCAGAATGACTTAACATAAGCAGGAATTTACTCCTTAAATCCACTGAAATATGCAGAGCCAACAGGACCCCACAAACCTTTAGTCAGTTGTTGGTCTTTCATTTCCACTCAGGTCCCAGGGATGTTAGCAACCAACGGTTCTCAAATCTCACCTGCACAACCCTACATAGATAACGAAGGAGCTGAAGCGTGGTATTTTCCCAGTATGTCACCCTTGATTGGATAAAAGCTATCTTTAATTATATTGATTTCTCTTCTAATTCAATTTGTCATCAAATATATTGGTTTAAGAATTATCACGCCTTTCACTTGTACAACTTTTTGTTGAAAGCACTGAATTGCGACCTTGTATGTAAATTGTTTCACACATTCGGAAATGGGCTTCTCCACTTTACACGAACCTGTCTGCTAAACGGTGTAGATTCGCGCTCTGAGCCAGAAGCCACCACATTTTATGCAGGAAATGTATGTAAGCCGATTCAACACCCTTCTCAAAACCTAAAGAGGCTGGGTGCCCCTGAAAGGGGTATGTTTTTCTTAAAGACGCGGAAAAGTTTGGTTCTCGTTCTTTCCCGGTTCAAATTGCTCCTTGGACAGTCCCCAGTCCTTGCTCAGAACCGAGAGTTCTCCTTTGTACCTGCTAATGTCACAAACTGCCTGAGCGCGCCGCTCCTGGCCTCCGCCCAGCCCCAGATTCCTCTCCTCTCCCGGCGCCCTTCCCCAGGCAGCCGGCCCGCGGCTGGCGAGGGCTTCCTGACAGTCCCCTGTCCTGACCTCGTGTACTTCTTGGGTCCCCGCCGGTGCCAGCTGGCTGGAACCCCAGGGAAACCCTCAAAGTTGGACGTAGTAGCCCCTACCCCTTGCCTTCTCCAGTCGCCAAAAATAAAAACCCGGGGCTGTGGGGCACAGGCGGCAGGAAGGAAGAAAAAGTGAAGACAGAAAACGGCCCCGTGTCCCTGCCGGCCCTCTCCAGGGCGTCCGTGCCCGGGCCCGGCGACCGCCTCCCCAGCCCGCGGTCCTCCGCAGGTCGGCGCCCCACGCCGGGGGCTGTTCCTGGCTCCCCGGAGGCGCCACGGGCCCCGAGGAGGGCCGGGGAGGCCGCCGCCGCGTCGGGGTCTGCGCGGGGATCCGCGCGCTGCGCCTCCCGCAGCCGCGCGAGCGAGGGCCTGGCCCCGCATTCCAGCCCCAATAGAGTGAGGCAGGAAAGAAAACGGAAAAGCAAAAGGCCGGGTCAGCGGCCGGGCAGGCGGGCGGGCGAAGCAGAGTGGAGGGGCCACCGGGCCGGAGCGGGGGCCGAGGC